TACATTCTAAAAATCTATTTCATTCACCCATCAGTTTCATTCATTTCCCCCAGAATCTTATGGGAGGACCTAAGAGACAGCTATGTCAGTGTTTGGGGGCTGTTGGGAGGTGCATTCCTGTGGAAGAGAAGGTAATCGTGAGATAAGGGTGCCGAGGTGGGGAGCCATCATGCCCCACCCCGATACCGCACGAGTCCCTCTTCTGGTCTGGCCTCTCAAGGGGGCAGCTGGGGGAGGCCGAGTCCAGCCTCCTGAGACCACGGCCAGTGCGGCTCACAGCCAGAGGCCCGGCAGCCTGGTGCTAGCGCCCTCCCTTCCCCGCAGAGCCCACTGCTGGCCCGGCATGCCCGCCCGTCTATGTGCTGCTCTCCTACCCAAGAACGCGTAGCAGAGAGCCAGATTTTAGAAGTGATATTTTTATATGGAAACCACCACTTACCACGATCCTTACAAACTTCTACTTTAAGCACATCACCCCCCACACACACACCCCCCCACAGACACTGCAATCATTTATCAGTAATAACAAATTCTAGTGGCAGACCTCACAAAAGGTGGAGACAGCCCAGTGAGTCACATACTGACGCTGGGAACTGCAGTTTGAAATACTCTTCCCCCTCAGCACGCCATCCTGGGACCTTTCTTCCGCAGATCCTCTCTCAACTTGTGGTATTCTTAATTTGCTCTTTGATGTCATTCTAGGTAAAGACAAATTAAAATGTTAAATTATGAGCATGAATTTTACCATTCATCTTTGTACTATGCAATGCCAGTTTTAAATGCAAATATAAGAGCAGTTAACTGCTGTGCAGAGTCTCCCAAAATTACAGAATTTACATTTCATAGCTCATGTATGCATATGTATTTCATTCTTCACCAGAACAGTGTAAATGCCACCCGAACACAAATGGAACTCAACTGTGTTTATTTTGCTTCTTGATAGGCACACATTTTATCCACACTCTCTGCCCTAGGCTTACTGGTAAGAAGGACAGCCCCAGACACAAGGAACCGGAGGCTGTCCTTGCTGTCCTCTTCTTCTCTGCCATTTCCAGTATAATCGATTGACTACTACAGGGAAGTAACGTGAGTGAAAAAAGATAACACAGGTTCTTTGGTTGGTCATGTGTCTTAAAACACCCCTGCCTTCCTTCTGCATTCAAAACAATTTTGGTTCAAACAGAGAGGGAACCTCTCAGGGTGGTCAGCTCCCTGCTTCCTCAGTCATAGACATCACACGCTTCACTTCTCACTCTCAGTCCACTGACCCTCCCACACATCGTGAGCACTCTGGAATTCTGTGCTCACTGGGCATCCTGAGCACTATATGTAAATGGAACAGCAAGAACAATGAATCTATCTCCTCTGCTCATGGACATGCTGCATTGTCCCATCAGAATTCATGTGCGAAACACAAGTTCAAACATAAAATTATTAAGAATTTCAAGATGGGGGGGTGCCTGGATGGCTCAAGTCAGTTAAGCGTCTTTCAGCTCAGGACCCTGGGATCAAGTCCTGCATCAGGCTCCCTGCTCAGCGGGAAGCCTGCTTCTCCCTCCCTCTGATTCTGCCCCCTGCTTTGTGCTCGCTCCCTCTCATGTTCTCTGTCTGTCTCTCAAATAAATAAACAAAATCTTTAAAAAAAGAAAAAAAGAATTTCAAGATGGTAACAACAGAGATTTAAACCCAGCTCAGGATCCTCTTAAGCACAGAGCACTATGTGGCTCTTGGGTCACATGCCCATGAAGCTGGCCTTGCCCATGGTCTGTGCTCCTGCCACATGGGCCCTGCAGATCCCTTGGACGAAGGGCCCTAGGGATCTGCTCCTCTCCCTGAAGCTCACTTGCCTCCCTCCTGGCCTGGGCATGTTCCTCCTCCTCCTCCTGTGATCTATTAGCTCAGCTGTCACATCCTTAGGTAGGCCTCCCTGCCCGGCTGACAGGTCAGAACTTCCTCGGCCCCGTGGAGCTCTCCTTCAATCACGCATCATGGTCACCCTTCTTCATTTAGGGCTGTGAGGATCAGATCGCTCACTGTCCTCCCACTGAACTGCCAGCAGCATATAGGCCGGGACTAGGTCTGGTTTTGCTCCTCAGTGTGGCACCAGGACTGGGCACGTGGTCCCTAATAAATATCCATGCAGTGAACAAATGAATGAAAAAATGGATGACTGTTTTTGCAACTGGAGCACAAGTGTCAGATAAAGAGGTGGGATAAATGAGCATGGCCTGAATTCTAGTGTTTGTTCCCAAGAGGCTAAATCCTGTCTCAGTCCGAGCTGGTGAGACTCCGTGAGCATCCTATGGCCCTTGTTTACTTGCTGTCTCTTCTAGGAAATGAGTGCTTGACGATAGGCTGTCCTTGCTTCTTAAGGGATCCAAGTCCTTTCCTTTGTGTCTCCGGGCCCAGCACGGTGCCTGGCGCTTACTTGGCTCTCAGAAAGTTCTAGTCTTATTGAACTGAACTGAGCTGGACTTAGATGAAACGTGTGGCCCTGAGGCTTCCTGTGTCTCTCCCTCCCCCGTGTCTCCTTTTCCTCCGTCCTCTCCTTCCCTCTTGTTAAGGATTTCTGAGTCTTGAGAACCACTTTAGCGGTGATCAAATATTTCTAACAGAAAATTACCCTCATTTATTTTCGGTTTAACTCGACTCTTCAAAGAAAAATGGCATGATTGGTCCTCTAATTATGTGGTGGTTGGGCACTCCAGAGACTGCCCCAGAACCAGGTTGGGCACATTGGTTGATAATATTGCCATATTGGCATTGATCTTGGGAATGTAATCACAAGGCAGGTACTTCAGAAGTTCATCCATTCAACCCCAGCCAACTCAGAGCAGAAATTAAACAGGAGAACCAGACCAAACCTGCTGTTCCGCCCTGAGGGGCTGCAGAGCTAACCTTGTCCGAGAGCCGGACAGCGACACCACTGACGCTGAGCAACAGTGGCCAAATGGGACCCGTCCTTCTTGTTAGGCCTGGTCTGCAACCTGCCTGTCTTGTCCATTATTCTGCCCCTATGTCTGAGAAATGGCCAGAAGGGGCTGTAGTGAAAATGGAGTGCCCATAATGAAATTGAGGATCGATGAAATAATAAAAAATAAAAGCCTCGAGGTAAGACGGGTATTTATTGACCATCTCAGAAAACATTGTTAGTAAGAGATCAGGGCATGCTTCCTGTATGTAAAATGGGGGATTTCTCTCCAGAGTGAGACTTGAATGGGAATATAGAATGCTACTGGAAGCGATCCCAGTGCAGCCCCCTTGAAGTTATGGGGCTGCTTACAGAGGGTGCCATTGCCATGGAGTAGAAGGGGCACGGCTCAGGAGTCAGCCATACCTGGGGCTTCCACCGACTTCAGCTCTGTGACCTGGAGCAGGTGATAACCTCTCTGATTCAGATTCCCTTTCCCTTCCTCCTCCTCCTCTTCCTCCTCTTCCTCCTCCTCCTCTTCTTTCTTCTTTTTAATTTTACAAATTGGGATAACACCCCTGCCTCCAGGTTTGCAATGAAGATTGAATAAGGTCACCTGGGTGGAGATACGGAGCTCGGTGCCTGGTGCGGAGCAGGGGTACAATCATGTTACCCCTTCTCCCCACGGTGTCAGGAGACTCTTCCTCTTTGAAACAGCTGGCCACACCTGGACTAGAGGCAAGAAGACACCTGGTTGCCCTCAGAGTGAGGACCCCCTTAAATTGTGCACACTAGGCCCCTCACCCTGGTCCCAGCAGTGTGGGGGGGACAATGTCAGACCAGGGTTGGGGCATCGCAGGGTAGACGCCCTCCCCCTACACCATCTCCTGGGCCATTTTATAGGTGACACAATTGAGACCCAGGGTCAATCTAATTTGACCACAGCAGCAAGTACGTGGTAAACCCAGGATGTGACTCCGGGCCTCTGGCCTCCAAGTCTGTGTTTTACCCCCCAGGAGCCTAGAGCTGAGCTCTTTGCTGCCTGTGGCACGTGATGCTCCACACACACCCCACCCCCCACACCATCAATGGGTGATATGGTCACCCCAACAAGACAGGAAGAGAACGTGTCTCAAGTTTTCAGTCATTCCCAAGGCACTTACTACAGAGCTTACTTGCAGTCAGGGTTCAAGAAATAAATATCCATCAATTGAGAAAAGTTGTTTGCACAGCCTTATAATTTTAATGCAGAGAAATAGTTATAATACACATTAACCCAGCTGAGCGGGAGAAATACATTAATTTCACAACATGTTCAGCTCTTTAAGAAGTTAGCTTTTCAGGCTCCACGGGGATCTGGAACTCGCATAGACTCACCCCCACTGTTATGAGAGAAAATTGCAACTGAGTGGTGCCCCTCTCCCCACAGGGAAGAGGTGGGTGGAGAGACAGGGGTGGTGGAGGTAGGGGGAGCTGGCTGCAGCAGCGTGGGGGCGTTTAAGCCAGGACAGGATAGAGCAGTGCTGCTCACATTTAGTGAGCAAACAAATCACCTCACCAGGGGCCTGGTTAAAAAAAAAAATGCAGATTCTGATTCAGGAGGGCTGGTGGGTCCCGGGGGTCTGTATTCTTAATAAGTTCCCCACAATGCTCTTGCTGCTGGTTCAGAGGGCAAAACACTGTGAAAGCTTTGGCCTTTTCCTCTTTCCTCTGCATTCATTTATCTTGAGGCTGTGGGCAAAAATCCTTCTCACACTGGGCAGAGGGCAAGTGGGAAAGCTGCTAGGAAAAGCAGCAAACTAGGACAATCAGCCAGCCCCCCACCCCGCCCCAGCACCATGACTCCCCTTTCTCCCTGCCGGATACACTGGATGGGTGACATTTCTATGTGTGAAACACTTCAATTTTACCATCCTTGAAATGAGCATATTGGGCTGGGTCTCCGGAGGCCTCTTCTTCTAGTTTGACAATTCTTTGTGTGGAGGAAATGGCCTGGAGGTTTTGGGTTTGCAAATCTGTCCAAGAGAAATTCTGTCTTCAGTCTGGCAATTCTCAGGATCCCCATTCACTGTCTTGCATCCTTCTGCAGGGGAAATTTGTGCCTTCAGAATCCACGGCCAGGAGCTGCCCTTCGAGGCCGTGGTGCTCAACAAGACGTCAGGAGAGGGCCGGCTGCGTGCCAAGAGCCCCATCGACTGCGAGCTGCAGAAAGAGTACACATTTATCATCCAGGCCTATGACTGTGGCGCGGGGCCCCGGGAGACGGCCTGGAAGAAGTCACACAAGTGAGTGGCCCGGCAGGGCTCCCTGCACCCCTCCCACCCCCGCCCACACTGCTCCTCAGGTGTGTATACCCCATGGTCACACCACGGTGCTCCAGGCTGCTCAGCCGCTTCCCTGCGCTCAGGTGTCACTTCCTCCGAGAAGCCTTCCCTGAGTCGGCCCATCCCTGCAGACCTGGCTGGGACCTTGCTCTGGGTTTCTGCCATGCCACACGCTTGTCTCTGTCCCAGAACTTTTTAGTTTGGGTTGGAACTCTCTCCCTTATGGAGTTTGGCTCTGAGCCTCACACGGAGTCAGAGTGGTTAAATTCTTACTGAAAGGAAGAGAGAATGAACAGAGGAGGAGTGAATAAGGGAAAGGGGAGGTGATCTCCAGGGGATCGGTGCCCAAAGCTGGGTAGCAGAGAAGGCCAGAGAAGCGGCGGTTTCATCTCAGGACCAGGGAAGGGACAGGAGACGGGCTCTCCAGTGGGAGGGTGGATGGAGCGCTCAGACAACAACCATCCCGAATAGCTGTGGTTTCTGTGCAATCTCAGCGCTGGGACCGGAGTCAGTGCCCATGGGAGGTGTGGGAGGACAGTGTCATCCTCCCTTTACCACTGCCTCTTCCTTCCTGTGTGTGGTCCCAGGGCCGTGGTCCACATCCAGGTGAAGGACGTCAATGAGTTTGCTCCCACCTTCAAAGAGCCAGCCTACAGGGCGGTCGTGACAGAGGGGAAGATCTACGACAGCATCCTGCAGGTGGAGGCCGTCGACGAGGACTGCTCCCCCCAGTACAGCCAGATTTGCAATTATGAAATCGTCACAACTGACGTGCCCTTTGCCATTGACAGAAATGGTGAGTGTCCTGAGAGGCCCTCAGTGTGGGGCGGGGAAACACCTCCACCACCCCCTCAGAAGGCCAGGTGGGGGCTCTGAATGTCCGTGGCAGGTGATGACTCCCTCGCCATCCGTGACCCGGGCTCTGTAACCCAGAACTCAGTCCCACGCTAGAGGGGATGGCCTCGTATTGTTAGCAGCACAGGCAGGTCTGAAATTCCCCCAAATACCTCAGAAACCTACTCAGTGCACACTATGTGTAGAACTCGTAATGCCACACATCTGGATACTGAAGACAGGTTTTCTGGTAGAATTTTCCAATTGCCGTGCCATCAACTCGGCCATATCTGATTCCCTTTCCTCTATCACCAATTGTGACATCGCCCCTAAGCCCAGTCATCTGCTTCCTGCTCTCAGACCAAAACAACAACAACAAAAAAAATGCTAAAAGAGAAAGTAGAGATTTTTGGAAACACCTTCTGAGCTTAGATTCATTTAGGAATCTTAATGGGCTTGCCAGTGTCCTTTGGGAATTTCTACCATAGTGAGAATGAGGAATGAATGAAGCCTCCCACCATACCCCAATCCAAAACTGAACTTACTGAACTGAAAACAGTCCTATAAAGCCACTTGTGTATTTCCCCATCACCATTAATAAAAAAAACTTATAGTGTAAACAGCTCAGCCAGAGGCCCAATCAACTCAGCCCACTTTAAATGCAATTTTCAATAACTCCATGTTAATCAAATGATAATGACTTGCCAAGTATATTATTGAATAGCGTGAGTGAAACAAAGCATCCCCGCTTTGTTTCAAATAGGATCATATAATACTGGCACAAAGATGCAAAAGTTGCAAAACCTGAAGTTCATCTACTCTGTAAATATGGCCTGAGTCCTGGCATGGTGCTGGGAACTGGGAATGGAGGCAGAGTGGAACTCAAAACAGACATGGGCCTGCCCACATGTAGCTTACTATACAGTGGGAAGAAAGTCAAAATAACAAATAGAAAGTCAGGTGGCATCGAGGGTGAGGGTGATGCATAAAGCCTGCCATGAGCCAGGGTGAGGCAGAGGATTTGCTTGGGGCTTCCGGGTAGCCAACGTCTAGAGAGAAGTAGACCATCAGTCACCTGCTTGCACGTCATTAGCGCTTCCAGTGCTCCTTGATGTCAAGACCCGGGAGAAACTTATCCTGTGACCCGGTCTTCTGCATCCTGAGAACTGCAGCAGGTTCTCAGGATGGAAGGGGATGAAAGCCAAGGAGATACCCTCATCCCTGGCCTCCTGTGGTTTATGATCTGCCTTGGACGACGAAAGCAACATTCATAAAACAGACAAAATAGTAATAAGACAGTTTCCTTGTAAAATGATAAAACGTGGAAACCGACAGTTGCAAACCTGGACATAGCTAGATGCTCACTGCGTGGAACACAGGATCAGGGCATGAGTGCACAGGAGGGTACAGGAGAAAATACTGGACTTTAAAGATTGGTTCAGGATGAAGAGGTAGGTAATTTCACTCAGTAGAACCTATCAAAACTGCTTCCTGATAGCTTTTCCTAAAGGCCCTGTGATGTGTCCAGCTTGTCCCCACCACACAGACACATGTCTCACACACATCACATACACACACACGCACACGCACACACACGCGCACATACCACTCCATAAAACACAAAACAACGGGTTTGTCTTTTCTGTTCCCCTGTGACCAACTGTGTGGTCCCCATGCACAAAAGCTGTGGAATTTGGGGAGTGATGAGTCCTTGGTGAAGAGCAAGACGAGACAAGTGCTGGTCTCTGTGATGAGTGGTCAAGCTCCTCTTGACCGCCTGCCTTACTTCCGGAGAGTCACAGCCCAATGAGAGATGAGATGCAAATCCTTTCATCTGAGGGTAAACTGCCCCAGTCATGAAGATAATTACTCACCTTGATGAGCCATTTCGCTAACATATGCCAATTTATTTCCCTAGCTGTCTCATTAAAAGTGAGTAATGGTCCTTTGCCAAGCCTCTGCCTCCAACACTGGTTTACAACATAAGATGAAGAGGAGAGTGGGCACTCCCAGGGAGTGTGGGCCCCCCGACAGCGAGGTTTACAAAAGCAGTTCTCCAAGTAATGAAGGCAGGACCTGGGGGCAGACACAGAAACGGCTGCTCCCATTCTAATGAGCTTCCCAGTTGGCCCTGATCCATCACTTCTCCCAGCGACCTTCCGGGCTCCTTGAAGAAGTTCTTTGCCTGCATATCAGAGAAAGTAGTGCTGAGTTCGGGGTTCCCTCAATGAAGCCCCATGACTGCAGGGAGATGGCTCCTGGCCCCTCCAACCTGCCAGGCTCTTTGTTTGGGGGAGAAAGACACGAAGCAGGGCAGGAGAGAGGATAGAAGACATTACGTGGATTCCGCCCAAATTGTCTTAACCCAAAACTGAACCTCTTCCTGTCAGAGGTCATCAGCCCTCCCTCTGCTTGAATTCCTCCCCTGTGAAATCATGGCAGGAACCGCCCCTGCCTCCTTGAGGGGTTGTGAGGTCTCAGGGAAGCGGTGCCCAGGGATGATGTTCACAGGGTACCAGGCAGAGAGGGAACACTCCATTCATGGTGCCACGATCATCAGATATTTACCTGAGTGATTGGGAACATGAAGGTTATTCACTCCCCATGGATTTCCAGGCTGAAATTAGGAGCAGGTAACTGAGTTGGTGACATCCACTCCTTCTCAGGAAGTTCTGGATTCACTTCAGGTGGCTTTCCGGCCCCCATCTCCTGGTACTTGGCTGGTCTCTATGAGATCAATAGGGCCTAGATCCTCACTCTCGTTGAATGCATGAAAAAGAACTGAGTCCTAAAGTATAAAGAGCTTGCCTAACAGCACCTGTCACCCTGGTGGCAGAGTTGGGTCTAGAGCCCAGATCCCCTGAGCGTTGGCGCCTATGCCTTCCACCAGTGATATTGTCCCCGAACTCCTCATGATGTTTGACGGGAATGCATGGCTGTGGTTTTTAATCTCAGAACTACAAAGTTGCATCTGAATCCTGCATCCATTATTTGTGTGTGTGTGTGTGTGTGTGTGTGTGTGTGAGAGAGAGAGAGAGAGAGAGAGAGAGAGGGAGGGAGAGATCTTTGACAAGTTACTTAACCCTTGCCTCAGATCCTCGTTGGTAAAATGGGGATGAAATACCATGTGAAGTATCGTGCCTGTGCAAGAGGTCGGACGCTCTGCCAGCAAGGCTCTCGCTGGCACACGAGGCGCACAAACCGAGCCCTCGGCCCCATCGGGGATGACCAGAGGGAGCAACTGTGTGGTCCCCAGGCAGCCTCTCTTGGCCAGCAGGCTGCCCTGGTGAGTCATGGGACTCTGCCGCCTCTGGGCAAAGTGCGCCCTAGAGTCTGCTTATTTTAAAGTAAATGAAAACATTTCCTTTCCATCCGAATAGAAAAGTAACGCATGCCCTTTGTAGGAAATTTGAAAAGCATAGAAAAGTGGGAAGAAGGAAATAAATCACCTGTAATCCCACCAAAGATAACCATTATTGACAGTCCACCGCTACTTTTTCTGTGAAGTTTTTTTAACAAAGTAAGGCCACACTTTCCTTGTTTTTCTTTATCCTCCCTTTTTCACTTAACGTTCAATTATACGGACTTTTTTCCGCCCTTAAGAATACTTCAGAATTACCACTTATAGTGCTAAAATCATCCCATCCGATGCAGAGACTCCTTTACTTAGCTCTTCCCGTACTAGCAGACATCCAGTTTATCATTTTTCACTGTAAGAAATAATACTTAGATGAACATATTTGCACCTGTATCTGCAATTTTTATCATTTTCCCAGAATCAGTTTCTTAGATGTGGAATTGCGTGCCCCAAAGGCATGAGCAATTGCAAAGTGACTAACCTATATAACTTTCCAAAGGGGTTACTCCAATTTAAATCCCATTGGAGAGAGGGTGCAGGTCAGTCAGCATGCTGGTCTCATTGTACTTCTACCCTGCCTCAGTTTTTTGGTTTTTTTTTAAAGATTTTATTTATTTATTTGAGAGAGAGAGCGCATGAGAGGGGGGAGGGTCAGAGGGAGAAGCAGACTCCCCGCCGAGCAGGGAGCCCGATGCAGGACTCGATCCCGGGACTCCAGGATCATGACCTGAGCCGAAGGCAGTCGCTTAACCAGCTGAGCCACCCAGGCGCCCTACCCTGCCTCAGTTTTAAAATACCCTCACTAATGGGGCACCTGGGTGGCTCAGTCAGCTAAGTGTCTGCCTTTGGCTCAGGTCATGATCCCAGAGTCTTGGGATCGAGCCCCATGTCAAGCTCCCTGCTTCCCCCTGTCCCTCTTCTGCTCCCCCTGCTAGTGCTCTCTCTCTCTGTCAGATAAATAAATAAAACCTTTAAAAAAAATAAAATAATAAAATAAAATAAAATACCCTCACTAATATGCAAGGTAGGTACTGATTGTTCTTTGAGAGCTAGCTTCCACAGGTTCATCTGGACCAGAGAAATAGGCCCAGGAGTCCCTACTCACCTGGGTTAACCGTGGCCTCAGGTCTCCTAAGAAGACACTAGTAGGAGAAATCATTCAAAAGTGGGGAAAATAATGCAGTTGTAACAGAAGCAAAATGGGTGGCTTTTTGAGCTTCCAAACATTTTTAAATGTGTGCTTGTCCGAATAGGACACAGTCACAACATTAGACAGGTGTATTTGACCCAAGGCTTCAAATTCCAGGCTGCAAAACCCACTGTCACATGCATGAAGCTGGTGGTGGCGGAGAAAGCACATTCGTTTCTGGGACAGTTTCACTAGGACTTGCTAGGGTGCTCCACTGCTACACACAGGGCTAGGGATTTCGGCTGCGTGTTTATTTTCCTACCACGGTCAGTGGTGCTTTGTCTGCTTAATGTCACACAGCTGGTAAGCCCTGAGGCTTCCTCTTACGAAAGGCGGATCTTTTGAAAGCCATTTAACTTTAAAGAAAGGGAAAGGGAAAGCTTTTTGTTCAAAATTCAATTTGATGTTGCCGAAGCCTACTTCACGGGGTTCTATTGCGGCGCTTCAACCTGCAAGAATTCCTCCCCTGTGAGGACTATAACCACACACTAGTTTGCTAACAGAACCCACAGCAAATGTCCCCAACCCAGCACTGAGCTGCTCCAGCCCTGGCGGGGGCCTGAGCTCAGACCCGAGCGCATGGGGGAGAAGGGGGGGAAGCAAGAGCGATTCTGAACACCAGGCACAAGGCCAAAGGTACATCAAACCCATTTTCATTCAGAGACTTTTGACTGGCTTTGTTAAAAAAATTTTCACTTAAAATTGGTGGCTGCGATTACGTTTTTAGAAACAGTCTGGAGCAGACAGTGAATAAGTGCTCCTAATAAATGCTCCTAAGTCTCGGGCAGCTTTGTAGGAGATCTCCTCCCCGCCTTCGAAGGCCTGGCTCCCACGAGAGGAGCCCTGCCTGTGGCCTTGGCACTGAGGACCGCTTCGTCACTAGTGTTGGGTGACCGGGGCATCAACTCCCCCGATCTTTAGAACATGACGTGACTTCGGTAATTCCCCAGGCTGTCTTGCCTTCGTCCCTGTTGCCTCAGTTCACACAAGCCGTAGACACCCGTCGAAATGGAAGAAAGCTCATCATGGAGTTTTCCCTTAGTTTTAATGAACTGTAAAAATATACCTGAATCAGCCATTCCGTGTTTGCTTATTAGCATGTTGGTTTGTTTTTTTGAAGTTTCCATTTTCTTAATTTCACTTCTGCTGAAGGATAATGATAACACTGGAGTTGTAAACTGCTGTCAGCTCCACTATCAGAAGAAAAGTAAGAATGAAATTATTCCCCACAAAGGAAGATTTCACTCTCTTGGAATCAAAAACCGAGAAGTCATGAAATGCACACGGGGCCTTTATTCATGTGAACCAAAGAACGAAAACTGTATTTCAGCAAAAGTAGTCCAATCTGAATTTTGCTCATTAATGATCAAATATTTATTTCCAAATTATAGCATCAACTTACAGGAACAAAAGCTCACCAATGGCCCAGAAAAATGGTTTGGTCTCTCTGGGAGAAGAAAAACGTCTTTGCCACCAGGGCAAGGAATCTGTTATTCTGTGTAGCTTTCAGAAGAGAGGTCACACGTTTCCTTATTGATTTTACTTCCTATTTGGTAGCAAAATAATGTGAGAAGAGGCAGTGAACATCCCTGGCGACAAGCCCAGATGTTGAAAAATATGTGTCGGGACATTTCTGAGTCCCATCTTTTTCCCAGAGATTTCATGGCAGATGAGCCTTGGCACCCTACATCATCGGGGACACGACCACATGGGCACACTTTAGGAGGGAGTTTTCTGACAACCCATGACTAACAAACACACCAGTTGGGTTCCAGCTGTGTGCCTGGAATTCCCTAGTATTCCTGTCCCACAGCCCGGTGGCTCCAGCCAGTGGTTCCCGGGAATTTGTCGCCAAGGCACAAGCAGGCCACACGAGGAAGCCATGCCCCCTATTCGCCCTTGTTTGTACGAGGAGGTAAGGAGAGGGGTCATTCCATTCCAGCGAAGGTTAGAGGAGTAGAGAAGGGATTTTAAAGAGCTGCACTAAACTCTACCTCTAAAACGAATAATACGGTGTATGTTAACTAAATTGAATCTAAATAAAAAATAAAAACTGCAGTGTGGATGATTTGATCTGAAACAATTTTGAATATCCCTGTGTCCTCAGGCAACATTAGAAATACCGAGAAGCTGAGCTATGACAAGCAACGCCAGTATGAGATCCTGGTGACCGCCTATGACTGTGGACAGAAGCCCGCCGCTCAGGACACGCTGGTGCAGGTGGATGTGAAGCCAGTTTGCAAGCCTGGCTGGCAAGGTGGGCCATCTCTTGTCAGTCCTGTTGAGTGAAGGCAGCTTGGCTTGGTGTATAGACGGGGCTGACCTGTCCTAAAGATCATCACAACCTATAGCTAGAGGAATTTTTTAAGTGTGGTCATGCTGCTGCAGAAATAGAGTAGCTTGTTGATTCTTACAACTCCAGGGTGACATATCATCCTCATTTTACAGCTGAGAGTGTCCCAGGCAACTCGTCTACTGTCACGTGCCCCGTTTGTCCAGTGCGCCCTTTCTAAAATCTCATGACACTTTGGAATCAATAGTAATTATTGCACAGTGCTTAGGAGAAAGCACCAGCAAGCCTATTCACTTTATCTAAGGGAAGGAGTCTAGCTGGAATGCCTCAAGTTTGCATCATCACTCCTGGAGCAGGTTGTCCTGTTCTTTGGGCTGGCTCAGAAGGCGTACGGGCAGAATCCAGCCTTTGGATGAAGGAGTTTCTCAAATGTTGGTTCTGGGAATGGAGAAGCATCAGCCTGAGGTAGAGGTGGATTTTTGCCGTGGTGTAGATATTTTGGTGTGCAAAGACCGAGCAGGGGTTCAGGTTCCCCCGAGGTGACACAGGTGTAGTGCTGACCTAAAGGAAATGAGGAGCACGAGGCCAGTTGCATAGAGGGATCTCGCAGAGAACTGGATGGTTTATGGAATACCAGTAGCTCTCGCGGTGACGCCAGTATTTCAGTGGCCGGGCCAGGAGGCTGGCGGTATCCCTGCCCCCATTTCGGTGGCTCAGCCATTGCAGTTTCGGCTTCCTGGGTCACTGCAGCTCGCCGGCTGCCACCCACTCGAAACTTAGGGCATTTCACCGAGTCTCCATTTTGTGGCTTTGTCTACTGTCTTCCCTTCTTGTGTCTTGAAGCTTCAGGCCCCTGTTATAGTCTACCTGTTTCTCTTTCTCTCTGTATATTTCATTCTTAAATTGCCCTAGAGAGAGTGTCATTAGCCATGTTAAGCATCTGTATTTCTTTTGGACAGACTGAGGCCAGGATACCACATAGGTCACGGTCAGACTTGGAATGGCTGCCTGTGAGTCAAGCATTCATTCTCAGGGCGCACAGCAAAGACACCTGAGGACCCACCTGGGGTCACTCCCCTCAGAAGGCAGCTCTCCAAGGGCTCCTCCCCCCACACAACTTTATCGCCCATAATCTTTCAACTAGAAAAATGGGAGGTGGTAATTAAACCCACCTCTGGAGAGAGCCAGAGACGTTTGCCTTTGAACAAAGTAGGAAGATGAAACGCCCAGTAGAGGAGTCACAGGTAAGACAGATGAGACATAAAGAACAAAAGATAGAACCATCTTTGTGTCGCCTATTCGGGATTAAGCAAGAGACAGAGAAAAAGGAGCAAGCCAGAGTGGGAAACTATGTATCACCAACCTCGGGGAGCCTGGGCTCTGGTTGGTATAATTCACTTAACCCCAAGGAACCTGAGGGCAGGACTCCGTCTCTCTTGTTCCACGCTAAATTTCCTCTGACTTAGCACATATCTGACCCGTGATAGGTGCTCAAGAAATAGCCATTGAATGAATGAATGCATGAATGAAAAGCTATTAGAGTAAAGAAGTACTCAGCTTATTTTATTTTAACTTATAAGGACTGAGCCAGTGAAAGTCTAGCTTTTGAAAAGAAAGCTTGGAAAGAATATAAAAGCCTTCTAAGCAGGGCACCTGCTCATAATGGGATTTTCAGTGGGGAAAGTAAAACACAAAGCTATATCTGGAGAAAGATCCCAATGTTTTGTGTCTTTGATAAATGAGACACCTACAGATTGGGAATACATTTTTGTACCTATATTTAAATGCAATTTCCTAACAGAGTTTGTACTCACTTCAGTGTTAAATGTATGCAAAGAAAATCATGTTAATAACGTTGAGTCCTGTGTGTGCAGCTTGTGTGGGGCGCCTAGCCCTCTGGGGCACAGTGCTATTTGTCACCCAACTGTGAGCTCCCGGGGGCAAAGGTCGTGCCCGTTTGCTGTGTCCCCAGTGCCCAGCACAGGGCCGGGCGCCATGCAGGTGGTTGGCAGGTGCTGGATGGATGAATGAAGGGTGAAAAATGCACCTTTCTGTGGAAGGAAGAAAAAGGGAAACAGCAACTCCCTGTATCCGTTCACTGTGTCAGACCAAACCGTTTAAGCATGTGTAACATCAGAATCAACTACTTTATGGGGGTTTCCCTGCCTAGTGAGCCAGCCTTTGGTGGCTGACGCTGACACGGGATTCTGCATCATGCCCCTCCTCCCTCCAGCTTAGTACCTCTAGAAGCCGCTAGGTCTCTCTCCCCAGCCTTCATCCCAGCAGACCCTCAGATCATAGGCAGGTCGTCCAGGCTCTCTGCTATGCGTAGTAGGGCTCACACTGCCTTCCAGCAAGTCCCGTCCCAGCACCCAGACCTGGAGAACAGTCCTCTCCTTCCAGCTGACGGGTCCATTTCATTCCTGCCCTTGGGCAGCTCTCATCTCCAGCTCACCCATCTCCACCCAAGGGAGGCCCTGTCCTCCGCTCTACCCCAGGTCAGGGCTGCAGCCTCATTGCTGAAGTGTGCCTTTCTCCAGGGAAGATCAAACCCCCTCTGGTCCCTAGTGTGTGTCTCTCGTCCAATCCTCTCTCCCAGCTTCACAGAGCAAACTGGAGTGGGCCATGTTTCGCTGGTTTTCTTTTCTAACCACAGATGAAACATGCCGCCCCTCACCCTGAGAGGTTGTCTGGTCCCTAGGGGACAGGGCAGGTTCTTCTTGAAGCTGGTGCAGGGTGAAGCCTGCACTGTATAGAAGAGAGTAAGGAAGCCAGTCTGGCTTGCAGAGGTGGTTGGAACTGTGGAGAGGTGGGAAGCAAGTTTGGAGAGGTCTGAGTTAGGGGAGGACCGGCAGTCAAGATTTTGAATGCCAGGGTCAGGAGCTACAATGATCCCCAGCCCCTCAGAGCCAGCCGTGAGTAAGGGGTCGGCGGTATGTGCCAGGGGTAACTGCCCAGGAGAACAGAGGCTCCTCCCAGAGCTGATTTCCCACAAACAACAAGAGTCACCAAGCAAACACAGTTTGGCAGTTCAAATTCTTGTACCTGTTCTTAGGCATTTCCCTCCAGGCAGGAGGGGATTGCAGCACAGTGCAAGCAATCTATCATGCTCAGGAGCCTCCTGTCTCCCGAGAACCCGCCAAGTCGGCACCATCTTCCCTTGCTGTTGTCAGCTGCTCCCAGGAGCTGTCCTCGAGGAGGGAGGGACCCTGCGCACAGCTCGAGCCTCCCCTGCCTTCCCAGGCTGCTGAGGGACTGCTTCCAGATTCCTGAGGTGCCCCAGGGCGTGGCCCTGTTTTCCAGGAAGGTGGGGTTGCAGCTTTCCCAGCATGCTTCTGGCCTTACCCAGCTGTGCACAAGGACATCACGGACCCTTGGCTCCACGGCCACCTGCCATTCAGACCTCAGCCAAGGCATTGTCTCCTTTGGCTACGGTTTTCCATTCTCTGTCTTTTTTCTGTGGCTGGGTCTTGTCTTCCCAGAAACGATATGAGTTTTGTTCTCTCTGCTGTATTCTGAGATTGTAAGTCTGAATAGGTGGTCGGGGTCAGCACACTCCACATGGGGAGGTGGGGCTTTGCCCAAGGGAATGTCACTCCCATTCCCAGCTGCCCAGAGAAAATGGTGGTCCGAGCACCTTCTAGACCTGTGTGAGCGGAAGGGAGAATGAAATCTCTGTGTGTTGTCCTGAGCCTTGAGAACTCATGGTATCCCTATAGCAGCTCTTACTCATGATGAAAGAAGATTCTAGAGGAAGCAGGGAAAATGTGTACCTGCTGTGGGAGACATGCTAAGGCCTGGCTTGTGCCCTGCCTCTCATGCTAGACATTTGCAGTCTTTGTAGTGTCTGTTTCCCTGTTGCCAAGCAGTTTTATGTGTGCGAGCCTGAACCCCGAGCGGGTACTGAGGACTTCGGGAAGAATCCACTTCTGTTCATGGGATCAGAGCACCACAGAGGATGTAGTGCCCTCAGAGGCCATCGGGATGGCAACGGATCCAGTGAGAGCTGATCCTGTGGACCCTTCCTTCTCGGGGCCACAGACTGCGCCTTAGAGGATCATTTGTAATTTGGTTGCTGATGTGGGTTTTTTGTGTTTGTTCAGTTATGTTAAGTTGGGAAACTCTTTATGCCTTCTTTCATTGTCCTTTATAATCCCGTAGCCCATCTCTTTCTACGTGGCAAGCTGAAAAGCTTGTCTTCAGAACACTTACTCAGTGTATTTTCCCTTTTATTGATGGAGGTCCAATTCTGAATCTGTTATCTGCTCCCGCCTGTCGGGACCCAAAGTTCAGTATTTCATGTCCCTTTACGGAAACAGTTTCTCTCTGGAGAGAACCACTGCCCACTGCCCTGGTGGCCCATCCCCATTTCTCTCCCAGACATGTTGCTGACCAGACATACAGCCCTTCTGGATCCAGAGTTCCCGTGTCGGATCGGGTTTGCAGACTCCTGCCCCCACTGGACCCCATCTCTGCTTGCCCCCCTTATCACTGAGCACAAGCCCACGGCGGTCAGCGGCCCCTCCCCCAGCACCTGTCCACCAGGCACTGCCAGTTCCTAGACTTCCTCTCACGGGCCCACTTCCCGCTCCCTTTACCTTCACAGTAAGGTGCCCCATGTCAGACAGAAAGAAACAGAGATGGCGCCACGTAATGAGCCACTTTTTCTCCGCTCCCTGGGCTTGAATAGTTCTCCAGGTGCGTCAGACCGTCTCAGTGTTTCCGGCCATCAGGCCTTCGTCGGGAGGGAAGGGTGGTATCTGATAGAGCAGAATGTGCCCAGCAGTGCCTGGGCACCGGGGTAAAATGCAGATTCTGACTGCAGCAGTCTGGGGCGCCTCCGCATGTTGCTGGGCCATGGCCTTCACATTGAACAAGAAGGTCACTCGGAAAATATTTACTGAACACGTAGAGTGTCTAGGACTTCTGTGTGGAAAGGACAGCAGCATGAAAGCTGCTGGTGG